TTCCATACGTCATTAGGATGAATTCATAAACTTTTGGTGAGAGTATAAGGGATTTCCTTCTAGATTTAAATTCGAAATCATAAACATTTTCATTATTAAAAATTTTCTCAACAATTTGCTTAATGATTAATTCATGTTGATCGGTTTTTGATTTGAGAAAATTTAAAATCGTTGATTTTTTAAGACACCTTATGGTCTTAAATGCCTCTTCAAAGAGCCCGGAAACAAAAGAAAATGTTGTCTCTCCGGTTCTGATTGTAGTAAATGCGATCCATATGATTTCTCCTATATCGTCTAATTTATGATCAAATATTTGAAGGATGTCAATTATGACCTTGTTGTTTAAATTGAAGCCAATATCCATCAGATCTTTAAGACGCATTGTTACGTTTTCAACGGATGGACAAATCCATTCTTGCGTTGGGGATGGCGGAAAAAGTATGAGCAATGCCCCTTCTAAGACAAGTTCATTAACGTCGTTACAGATACTTTCGTACCCGATTTCCTTCCACCATCCTACTATTTGTGGTTCAAGAAGTATAGCTCTCGCAATAATGTTGAGTTGTCTACTATTCTCATATCCATCCTTGGGTGGGTATTCTTCGAGAACTCTTTGATAATTGTGGGGATCGATGTCGCATTTTAAATTATATGGACTTGGACGAGGTGGGAATGGGACAAATCTTTTCACTAAAATCAGATCTTTGATGCGTTTAGAATTTAATTCCAATACCTTAGATGCTTCAATAATTACATTAGGACCTGCTGAAAGGTAATGAAACAATTCAATGTCATTTCCTTTCACATGACAATTATTATTAAATTGCGTTTCTCCTTCTTCGAGTAAATAAAGAAATACTTCTAAAGGCAAATCGCCTGCCCATGGTTTTCTGAAGTTTTGTTGTTCTAAACGAATTCCATTAACACTAACATTATTTTTAATCTTAAATTCAATTAATGTCAGATCATATCTCCCATAATGTACTAGTAATTTTTGAACCATATATCTTGAAAAATTCGCTTTTTTTGCGAATAAATTTTGACACACATTCTTATCGATGAACGTCGGTCCCAACCTTATGCCGTGAAAGAACGCATGGGCTTTTCCGTATTTTTGCATTAACCATTCGGTTTTGGTATAAGGATCTTTTGCGATTTTCGACCAATCCTTGCAGCTTAATATCAAGTTTAGTGGAGAAGTGACGTATTTGAAAATATTGATTTTAATAATGACATCGAGGTACAAAATGTTTTGATATGTAAGGCTAAACATGTTGGTTTTTTATGCGGAAAAAGGAATATATGATAATGTTTTAAGTCAGTTATGAAAAAAGGTGATTCGAATTTCGACCATTTATATATAAAAAAATTGGGAGACTGAATGTATGAATTTTATCGCAAAACTGTTTGAACTTGACGATTAAACTAAATATTTTTTGTAATACATAATTAATTATTTCATTCATTCACTTCTAAATAAATTTGAAGCACAAGCTCGGTGACAAGCCAGGTAACTTCCTGTTAAATTCGACATAAAGGGTTAATTTTACTAAAAAAAAAAAAATTCTTTCAAACCTTTCAAAGCTCTCCATTTTTAGTTAATTTTTGCTTGGCGTAAAACTATCATGTATATTTGTTTTCACATATTTTTTAATAGATAGATCAAACAATGTTTCCTTTTGATATTTAATAAAAATGGGGGTTTTTTTTAAAACGGACATAATCCTTGCATACTTTTCATTCACTTTAAAATTACGGAATTCAAGTCCGGTTTGATAAATTTTTTTTAAGGATTCTTGTGCATCTTTAAAAAGAAGCTTCTTTTTTATTTTTTACAAAAATGGTTTAGTTCAGTTTTCAGCTATTCTTTTGTATTTTTTTTTATTCATTGTTTTAATAAATAGAATTTATAGATCTTATTATTGGCCGCTTTGTCGGAAAATTGTTAATTGGTTTTCTTTGGCTCTATTATTTTCTTATTGTTAAATATATATACAATATATACAGTATATATATATAATACACTGCCTATCCTCTTTTGAACCATTATTTGCATTCCTTTCATTCCTTTCCTTGTTTGATATATTAAAATAAGAAACTCATTTTAAAGGCTATCTGCTTATGGGCGTAATAAACATGCGGTGTTTCAATGATGATTTATTTATTTAAATTAAAATAAAGGAAACTTCTATTTATGACTCAGCGTTTTTATATGTTGGACATAATTCATTAGCCAATTTTCAAAAGTTTGTTTTACTGGTTAAATATATCTCAATAACGTTGATTTATCGAATTTGGTTCTAATTATCTTGTGATTTATATTCTACAAAAAGATCTCTTCCATATTAGATTTTTTGGTTTACCTTAAATATGAACGAATAATGTTTCAAGGGGGTTTTTTATTGTAGTATAAATAATTATTAATAAAAATAGTATAGTAAACTTCGAGCTTTTAATGTAAATGGATGGGAAACCATCATTCAAATTCTTACTGATAAGAGATATGCAGAACGATGTACATTTTTTATGAAACGATTTGAAGGCTAAAAAGCACAATTTTATGAGTGGATGACTAAAAAAAATCCAAGAATAAAAGAATGAACACAAGTAATTTATGTAACATTTCGGTCACCCCATTTCTAGCCAATAATAAATTTTCCGGAAAATCAAATCATGATAACCTACATATCTATGAAAACAAGTTTAACCTAAAAAGTAGAATTTTGAAAGGAAATACTTATTTTGATGGTGCCATGGGAATTTTATCAAGCTGACCTGATCATGTAGATATCACTACATTTATGACCAAATATAGCTATAAAAACTCCAAATATAGCAACTCATGGCCAAACTCAGAACTCAATTATTTTATAAATCGAATATACTCTGTTTTTATTGTGTCCAACTTTTATTTATTAACAGTCATTATAAAAATATACAATAATATAAATCAATCTTGTTTTTAAAAACTGAATAATTACAATTAAAACTGATGATTCTCCGAGTTACCATCATTTGGCGTAATTTTTTTTTAAAGAAAATTGGTGCTATTGTTAAAATGGTTTCATGTGCGCACCTTCTGTTGGCGTATATATCCTTTTTTATTTTTTTTTAAGAAACTTTATCATAAAATGCTTGCCGTATATTTCCGATAATAAATTACTAATTCGATTTTTAAATCAATAATTCTTTACAGTAATGTTGCGCGTTAAAATTCAGTAGAACAAAAGACTACGCGAGAAACAAATATTTTTTAATATATTATCAATGATGTAATAAACAACACAAACTTACCAATCTACAAAGACCCTCCTATTTATTACCAATGAACGATCATCTCGAATTCACAAAAAATAGGTCTGGATATTCTTCATCAATCTGATCACCCAGCTTCGCCGGAAGGCTCAGAAAAAGATAAGTTAAAATAAAAAAAATTTGTTCTTAAAAAGAATTATCTTCTTTCATGATGAATTCACCCTATGAAAAAGAAGGACGCCCATAAGTTTTTCAGATTACCGACTGTTTTTTCGTACGCACCTATATGTATATTTCTTTCGGACAGTATCTAACAGTAGGTATTTATTTTTTTCTTTTCAATGTGTAACTTATACGCGTTATTTATTTATTTTTTAATATCTACCTTGGACTTCTTTTACATCTAGTCTTACATTATTGTTTGTGCTTTCCAATTTTTTTTTTTTTTTTTTTTTTTTTTTGGTTTAAAGAATTGTATAAGATGCTGATGAAATAAAATTCGAGATACCTTCATTAGCTGCATGTAAATTGCTCGTTCATCAATATCTAAATATTTTTTATGCTTTGTACAAAAGATTACACGTTCTATCTTCATATCATTCAAGTTTGCAAAATTACCTTTAAAGTTATTAATATCTGTGCTGCGCACAGAATATAATTTAATATAATTTTTTTTCTACGTTACCTCTCCCAAGATATCTGTTGTAATTCATCAATCATATTTGTTTTTCGTGGAGTTGTGAGACGTGTTATGAACATTGAATGTGCAACTTAGCATGGATCAACAAATATAGTGATAATTTCTATTATTAAAACCAGTAATTTTGGCCCGATGTTCTTTGGCCAAAATTAAAAACGTGCTAATTTGTAAAAAAAAAAAAAAAATATCGAGAAAATTTATTTACTCAAATAAAATATTACTAGCCTTCACAATACTTGTTTGCATAATATAGAGTCAAACCCCTTGCGAATATGCTGTTCGTGCTGTTAAGCAATGCAGAAGTTACAGCTCTTTTGAAAATTAAATTCAAACATTCGTCGTAATGTCATTCTTGGAGAATCTTTCAAGTCTATCAGAAGTAAATATTCTATTTCGTTGAAAAGTCATATAAATGCTTAATGAAATCTTTGTATAATACTAATTCTGTATCAAGATCTATATATAACACTGTACATTAAAAGTTGCACCGGAATTTGGATTTATGTTAGATTGACAATACTTCATAAAGTACTCGGGTAGTGTGCTTAACGTCACTTGGTCAGTATTGTTGCTTGGTACTTTATTAGGATCATATAAAAGAGATATATCTGGGAGATCTTGATCAGAAGGTAATGAAATATTGCTAATATATATTTTAGTTTATTGACATATTTCTTAAATTTCTGAACTTTATTATTATAGCATAAGATCAATCGGTTTTGCTTTATTGCATTATAGTACTACACAAGAATTTTTAGATATAATTCTATCGCTCATCCCAATTGCTCGAATTTTCACTATAGGACCTGGAACTGAAAATACGAAAATTGGTTTATTTATATATAAGATTACATCGTCCTTATTCGGATCAACATTTATTGTTGTCTCTCGTGCAACTAAATGATCCATGTATTGGCTTTTCAGAACCGCAATATTGATCTGGTAGGTGCTTAGGTCGCGTCGCGTCTAGTTATATCGAGGTTTATGCGTATTATTAATATTGTTTTACACAGTAAATTTGATCAATTGTATATACAATGATCAAATGTCGCGTAAAGCTAAGGTTACTTCTATCATGGTTCCTGAACTTTTTCGCGAATCATTATCCAAATGGCTTTTGCGTAAGGATGATGTTGAACTTTTAAAGAAGTTTGATAAAGTTGTGTCAGACTCTCCAAAATCATTTCCCTTGTCGAACTCTCTCAACTCTAACAATTATTTGTTAACCAGCTAATTTTTAATTAAATCAAATGCATAAGCTTATGATATTGGAAATCCTGGCGTTTATCATGTAACACTTCTGGAAAAGATATCAATATTTTAACTATAGAATTAAATCTTCTTTTAAAAGGATCAATTGCAAGACTTCGAAAGGTGCATCATCAGAACGAGCTATAAGTTAATCAACAAGATGCTAAGATTTGGAAAATGCTTTCCAATTTATGGTACGAGTTAGAAATCTTTGGAGGACTCAGCATGGATGGATCGCGGAAATGAATTGTGTGATGGACAAGCGTAGCTGTGTTATTAAAGTTGGTGCTAATCCACCGGATTATCAAAAAATTTACCAATTGATAATTGTACTACATGAAATGTAAACACAGGAACCCCATACCGTAAGAAAATCTAAATTAGGTAGAAATTCCTGCATGAAGGTGGATTTTGGGGTATTAAAGGTGGAGTCGATGTGTTAGAGATTGTGCTGCAATAGGTGCTGGCGCATTGGACCAGATAGCATTGGAACTTTAAACTTTACAGTTGAAGTATTGTAACTCCGAATGGTAAATAAAAAATATATTTATATTTCTCTTTATCGTCAGTATAATGCATTAATGTAGTTCTTTTTATCATAGGTTTTTTATATGGCATGAAGAAGGGCGAAACAAATATCGATAAATATAGATCTATGAGATATAATGTCAAAGGTAATAATACAAATTAAGAAGTTATAGGTCATACGGAAATAGCATAATAATATTTTTAATTATGCATAAGCATTCACGTGATTTATGTCTTAAAAAAATTCTTTTTTTAATTTTTTGTTATTTTAAAAAAAAAACCCCTAGTTATAAGAGCCGATGATCCAATAAAATTAGAGGATTTAGAACTATTAGAACTATTGTATTTGGTGAAATAGGTAATGTGCTCTAGTTCGTATAGATAATGAGGAACAAAGCTCTTGTCAATTATTTTGTACCTATAGAAGGAAATGAACTTTTGTTTCTATTGATGAAGGGGCATTACAGTTGATAAGTACAAAAAACATAGATTATTAAACAAACGAGGAATATTTGAAAATGAAATTACCAAGTTATAATGTTACCAAATGATAGTTGCAAATAATTTATTAGCTTTCTTTCATTATAAATTGATAAATTAATAAATGAATAAATTTGTTTTTATTCGTTCCCCCTTAGAAAAATGCTTTTGACATAAAATAGAGAAGCATTTTTACTTGATGCTGCCGAAATTACAGCACAGTCCCCATATGAATATAAAAATCTTTCATCCTGATAATAAACACATTCTAGAGAAATTTTAAGAGCATATAACCAGTGTTGTCATGGGACATAGTTAGGACATAGATGGGACACAGATGAAACAGTTGGGACAATTGGGACATAGTATAGGACATATTGGAACATATAACTGGGATATATAGTTGGGACAACAAATATCTGGAACATCAAAAATGTATATCACTGCTTGTAATTATGTTATAACAATTATGTAAGATTAAGCTATGGGAAATATATCAATAGAATAGAAAATAAAAATTGAATATTTCTTCTTTTTTTTTTTTAATCTAACTTTTTCATAAAATCTTATTTTGTTAACATTATTAAATATTCTTACAACCCTTCATTGCTTAAGTTTGATAATGATTATAATAGTTATGATTTATATATAATATGTTAAGAAAAAAATCATATAAAATTAATTTAAACAAAAAAATTAAAAAAAATCTATTTGTTTATATAATAATTTTCTTAATTAATTAATATTTTATAAAATTAATTAATTTATAACTATTTTTACAATAACTTTAAAAATACAACTATACATAAAGGATCGTACTAAATGACTTATAATAGAGGTGAAATAACTTCTTCTTGGTCAATGTCAACAGGGATCAGTAAGCCCAAAGTCAGTAAAGATCTCATTGGTTCTATTGAGAAATAGTCCTATTATTAAATCAATTAAGATGTCAGGGAATTTTAAATGAGCTAAGGCTTTTTTTAACATGAAAATATTGATTTGATCGTAAGCCTTTAACATGTTTTGAAATAGAATATATAAATCTTTTTTATAAGAAGAATCTGTTTCTTTTTTAAGTAATGATATTCTAAAAGATTGTTAATTATATGAAGAGGTTCTAAGGTAGATTGATGTGGGAGACCTACAAAGTTCAAACCCAATAGAACGTTAGTATTAATTAGGATCTTTTGCAATCTAGCATTTAGAATTTTTGTAAATGCTTTGCGAACAGTTTCATTAGTCTGGTGTTGTTTAGATCATAGTTTCACAGCTTTAGTTTTGGTATAAGATACATATGTGCTAAATTCCATTGTCTTGGTATAAGACCAGATGAGAAATAAGCGCAAATAATTTTATATAAAAGTTTGTTAGTGAATGAACCTAATTTTTTTAATATTTCATTAGAAATGTTAGAAGGCCTAGGAGCTTTATCATTTGGAAGATATTTTAAAATGAGGAGCTATTCATTGTAAGTGAAAGCGTTGAGTATATGTTCATAAACATCGTCATTGATATTTGATAAAGATTGATAAAAAGTTTCTTATTGTGATCATGAATTTGAAAAATCAGACGTCATTAGATCTGTAACATCAAGATTTTGAGCATTAACTACACTCTGAAAATGTAGAGCAGTGGCCTTTTTTATTTTCAATAGATCTAGTTCTAAGTATATATCAATATTTGGTTTGTTGATTAATACTCTGTCAAGAATAATAGTTTTTCTAGATCTTTTGAGGTAGGAGTCAATCATTTTTGAAGGGCATCTTTATAATTGTAACTCATTGTGATAGGTGGATTTTAATGCGATTGTTGTTCTCTTGTTTGAAGACAATTTTCAGTTTACATTCAAAAGGTTTAATAATAGAAGCTTTTAAATCTATAAAGTATGTATTAATATCTTTTTGATTAGAAAAGGGAATCTAGCGAGGCTGATGAGATTCTATGTTTGTAAGAATATTATGATACTCATCATCGGTAATGCTACATAAAAAAGTTAAAGAATTAGAATTAGCTACATCTTTATCTGTAAAAACTTTAATTTTATGATATAGTTTATAAGTTTTTTGATTTGCTTGTGTATAGCAGAGTTATTAAAACTAAAAAGAGACTTGTGATGTAATGTTGAAGTAGATTTAGGAATATGCTTGTTAATAGCATATAAAACAGATTGGATAAAGAATTTTCATGCTTAATTAAGAGCTAATTGAGAGAAGCCTAGATTGTAAATATCACAGTTGTGAAACAGTTTCGATTCTTTGATAAGCTTATCCAGTTTATCTGAAAATAGATTCCAGTATAAAAATGCATTTTTTTTAAAATTGATTTATATGTTATTTTGTATTATTTGCGATATGTATTAAAAGAATTGTGTGTAGAGGAAGATAGTCAGATTTATAAACAGTATTAGAGGAATCAAAAATTTTGAAAGAAGTAAGATTGTGGGAGAGATGATGAAATGAAGATATAATCAAAGTGCATTTGTGTTTTTCTGGAAAACGTAAACGTATGAGGTAGTTTTTTGAAAATGTCAGAAATTAATGAAGTAGTATAAATAAAATTTAGGTTAAATATTTTGTCTATAAAAGATTTAAAAGTTCTATTTCTTTTAGTACTGTTATTCTTATACTGTAGTTTGCAAAAATCAATATTAAAATCGCCTATTAAAACTATATGATAAGATTTAGACTGAGCTTCAAGAATAATATTGATTATAATAGTTTCTAATTTGGGTCTAAGATTTAGTTGGTCACAATCAGTGGTATTGCCTGAAAGGTAAATTTGGATGATTCTTAATTTGGTCTTGTTTTTAAATTGTAAGTCAATATAAGTGATACTATTAAGAATGAACTTTTGAAAAAAAATGTGTTGATGAAGGTAGAATCTAATGATAAATCCAATACCTTGATAATTGAATTGAGGATTATCTGATGAGAATATAAATTTGTATGGCTTATTGTAAAAATTTTTTGATTAATAAAGAAAATTAGGATTGTTAAAATAAGAATAGAAGTTGTCGTTTGTTAAGATCTTTTCATTATTATTGAGATGAACTAATTGAATATCATTATTGTGGTTAGATTAATATATATTCATTAATTGGAAGAAGTAGAAACTTAAATCAAAGAGCGCAAAGTAGTAAAATTTCACAAATTTCAGATTTAATGTTATTGATAGAGGTTTCAACTAAACCAATTCTATTGAGATCATTTGTTAACAGATTAGAAGAATCATTTGAAGCAATATAAGATAACAATTCATCATTGTTAATACGGGTAACTGATGGGTTAATAGGTATACATTCCATTTCTTCATCATTGTTGTAAAGAGAAAATTCATAAGTAGGGGTCATCAACTTGATTCAAATCATGTACAATATAGTGCATGAATTTAAAACGATTAAGATGAAAATCAATGTCTTTTTGGTTTTGATCTTGCTTAATAGTTGCATTTTTTAAAGAAATAATCTCATCGTTGATGGATAGAAGTTTGTTTTCAATGATATCCAGTTTTTCTTGAATAATTTTTAGAGCATTAACGATATTTGGTGAAACATTAGAGCTATTTCCTTAAGGTGAGTTAGTTATTTTGATTAGTTAGAAGTTTGAGAGTATAATTTAATGGAACTATTATTATTATTGGAAAATGATCTAGGAGATCAGTATTGTTCTGGTTTAAAGCGATCATAGAGAGAACGATAAGGATTGACAGGTTTGCGATTGTTACACTCTTTGAATTCATGATCTGAAACACCACAACTTCTGCTATATTTTTTGGATGGTTTCATTCAATATAGAATCCTGCCTTTAAACTTTTGAGATTATGTAATAGCGTATGGTCTAAGTTTATATTGTTAGTCACAGATATGAAACAAGATTTAGCATTGATGTGAAGTAAGAAGTTAATAAGTTAGCATTGATTAGTGTTGAAAGGTTACTTTCATAAGTTTTAACTCGAATTGTTATCTCAAGGTAGTTTGTAAAAGATATAAATCAGTAGGTTCTTCTCTAAAGAGAAATTCTAAGAAGGTAACAAATCACACTCGATCATAAAATGAAGGTGATCTGCCAGGATCTACAGATGATTATTGAAAAATGAGAGATCTTTTTATATTTGATAAAATAATTTTTCACTACATCTGATTTGATAAACAATGAAATATCAGAGACTTTTATGATTCTGCATTTTTTAGCATCTTGTCTTTGTTGTTTTGTTATAGGATCGACAATTGTAAAAATAGGATTATGTTGTTTCTTGTGTCTTTGTAAATACATTTTTTAAGGAATCTATTATATCAAAGTAGATAAAGAATTTTCTGATTTTGGAAATATAAATTAAGCCTTGATACTCATTATAGTGAATAAAAAGGGAGTTAACAAATATGCATTTTTCTGCAATTGAATTTTCTTTTACGTCTGAAGCATAATCTATTACGTAAAAATACGTAGATGCAGTAATTATGTTAAAGGAGATTTCTTTGTTGTCTTGATCACATGTTTTATTCTCATTTTCCATTTCTTCAGACCAAGTGTCTTCTTTTTGTTTACCTTTATTAGAAATAATTTGATTGGTGATTGGATGGAGTATGTCTTTATTGTTATTTTGATCATTAGAAGAACCAGAAGCATGCATAGAGTCGTTGTTAGTGTTATTAACTGTGGTGGAAAGAATATTGTTATTTGGGTTAATAGTAGTTGAGTCAATATCCATAGTTTCAGGAGTAATTATTTCAAGTGTTGAGTTGATAGAAGAAGGAATAAGGTCGTTTCCAGTAATAATATTATTAATAGTTTGTTTTAAAATAGTTTTCGGTATTTGAGAAGGAGTATTAAAGGAAAGTTTAATTTTTTTGGTTGTTCCGTTAGTTCAATATGTTAGTTGTTTTTGCTTGAAGAGCTTGTAAGATTATTATTATTAGTGTTATTGTTATTTCTTTTATTATTTGCTGTAGTTTGAAAAGTTTGTTGAAAGTTTTTATTTTTTGTTTATCTAGTTATTGGCATTTTTGTTACTTTTTATGGAAAAGGGGAAAGAGTTTTTTATTAATCTAATAATTGATTTATTTCTTTTTTTTTTTTAAGACGTGGTGAAGCCATATTTATTAAAATTTCAGATTTAAAATACAAAGTAAAAAGAAAATCCCAAGACAGGTACATAAGTAGAAAAAAATAAAATTAAGCTGTTTAGCCTTCCTCAAAGGAAAAAATCAACTCTGACCAAACCAACCGGTTGTCTCGTCATGTTCACTTTCAATTACT